GCAGGTCTTGGCCGTTGGGTAGGATGCTCACTGAGCGAGATGCCCTGGCACCTCATCCCTTTTCCCAGAACATTTTTGTCCAATGACAAAAAGTGCATAGTCTTGGAACTAGAAAATAAAACTAATTTTGCATCTTAGCCTTTTAATTGTGAGATTAACGTAAAGCTTCCCCTTCCTGGTTCTCTTTTCTAGACCATAGATTTAGTGACATTGCTGCTTACTCCCTAGCTTCATAGAGAGGGGTGTAGTGTATGCACCCACAAAAGTCAATAGTGCTGGGCTTGGGCTACTTTCCTCTGAGATGGGCTTAATCCTCCCTGGGGCTGGAGGTGCCTACAACAGCTGCTTGTGTGTTACTATTACGTAGTGATGTTCAAAGTGTCTTTTCTAAGGGCCTTCTAGTACTGTACAGGCCTGATTATCTCTCTTTCAGGTATGGATTAACATAAACTAGATTTGACTTCTGATTCATTTTAAGATGTTCTTGGGTTTATAGCAAGCAATTCTTGTATCATTTGAGGAATTGTAGCTACATTTCTTCTTTGCATCCCACAGGGCAGTAATATTCTTCACTCATAATCTACTAAAAATGAACATCTAGACACATAATTACACTTCAAAAACACGCTCTCTTATTCAGCCTTAAAAGTGCTACTTCTTATTAAGATAGCTTAGAAGTTACTGTATTCTTTTTGCCACCAAACCAAATCCTTTAATAAAAAATTTTAAATTAAGATAAAGTACTACAGAAGAAATTCCCTGGGAAGTGTGTGTATCAAACATGTCTGTAAAATGTTTCACCTTAACGCAGATTGGTTATATTTAAAGTGATGCTATTAACCCCTGTCCACTTTGGTTCATAGCTTCTTTTTTGCTTCTGTTTTGAAGTCCACCATCTGTCTTGACTGATTACAACTGTCAGAATATCGGGTGATCACCTTCCACTTAGCCAGGGGAAAAACAGGACGTTATCTGTATTTTCATTTGTACTTGCTCTCTGAGCAAACCCTTCTTAGAAGATTCTTTTCATTGCTGAAGTGGCTTCTACTGTTTCATTAAATTGCTGTGCAGCGGCTGCAC